AAAACTGAGCGAAAATCCCTTTGAAATGGTCAAATCTCCACCTCTCGCCGCTTAATATTGCATGCAAGCGGAATAAGCAGTATAAGTATATAAGTAGTATAGTAGTATAAGTAAGTAGTATATAAGCAGGAAAACCACTCGAGTGGAAATGAAAACAAGAAAACGCGGTATCCAAAGGGTGCACGCGCGCACGCCATCATCACGGAGTTTCGAATGCGCTATGCAACAAAAGTCGTCCTTTACGAAAAGGCTACAGATGCGTAGCTAGGTCTGATAGCGGGAAAGCGTCTCACAAAAAAGAAAACCGAGGAAGCAAAGATGGTAGGCAACTGTTGGGTAAACAAAGGCTGCAATCTCGCCGAGCTTCGTGATTACGCTCAGCCCACAGAAAGTTATTTGAAGAAACAAAAGCAAAAATCCGCAAATTGCACAATTGTACCCGTTTGAGGTAGTCCGAGTGAGTTTGAAAATGATGAAATAGGTCGAAACAGTTGTAATCAAAGATTCTAACGTGCATATTATCTGATCCGGTCACTATCCAACCCTTGCGCGACGCAAACTTGGCAGCACGGACAGGAAAAAAATACGCAAGTTTATGATGAGGATGAATTACAATAAAAGGAAACAGGAACAGGCCAAACAACATCACATGTAGGTGTCTAACTGCAACAGGGCAGCGCTGTGCAATCACACTACTTACACGCGGGCTGGCTTTTCAGCTATAATAAGCCTACAAAACAGTCAAAAATCCTGATTATCCACTAGAGGATGAGAAACACTCAAATAAACGATGAAAACCTCAAACATCACTGAGTAAGATGCTAGGTCGCTCGCGCGTCGTAGCGACTGTACTACTACGCGCACCTACTCTCGTTAGATGGCCTGTACAGTCTGTCTAATCATGGGCACATTGTTGTTCAAATTGAGAATTTCAGATTCAGACTTGAAATCCAAAGAGAGATTCAAAAATGAACCGTTCATGGGCAAAAATATCTCGAAAATGATAATAAAAAGCAAACCTACAGTGAAAGACTTCACAATCTGTTGACCGTCGTAAGTCCATACGCTAACGTTCCTATCGTAAGTAGCTGTCAAAAGCCACTCTTAGCGGGATGAAAATCTACGCATTTCACTTGATTTGATTTCGTTATAAAGGTTCTCTCGACGTTCAGTGCTGAGGACATCTCTGCAATCTCTGCAATAACG